CAAATAATAAAAAATTAAAGCCCAAAGAAACAATATGCATGCATTACGAGCTTTATAAAGCTAAGTTAGACTCTTTTCTAGAAAAACGTCACCAATGGCAGAGTGGTTAAGCCAGCTGATTACTAGGAATTCGACCCGGGTCCTTATCCAGGCAAACGGACTGAATGCGTTATGAGTTTACGGGTTCCTCACGTATGACATGAATACAAACCAATTTTTTCATACAAAGAAGTCATGCAACCTTGAACTCTTAATTTTCCTGAAAAAAATACATTTGTGTCTAAGAGCCTAAAAACATGTAATAGTAAAATAACTAGCTGCTAATTATTAAGGTTATTATTATGGTTAAGACTTTGGTTTTCTACCGCCGAATACATTACTTGACAAAACATCTGTGAATTCCCTTTCATATGCAAATCTGAAGGAAAGGTTTCGTGGTTTTCCATATGGGTAACGTGAGTCCCTTATGAAGATTTTTTTAAAATCTTTTCTTTTCCTTATTTATCTTGTAACATACGATTAAGACTTTGGCTTTCTACTACAGGATACATTATTTGACGAATTATCTGTGAATTCCCTTTCATATGCATTATCTAATTCATATTCAGAATTGATGACGCAGTGATCTTTTTGAAGTATTTCGTCTTTTCCCGGAGATTTTAAGTTTCAGAAATTGGATATTTCAGTTAAATTATCTTCTTTTGTTGAAACAAATTATACAACAGACATTTGAGCAACAAATTATACAAACCAAACAAAATTTTATGTATTTATTTGTACCTTAAAATAAAGATAGTTTAGGATTAATTCTAATTTAGTATCTCCTTAATTTATAGAAAATAGCAATGAACTTGACTGCCAGTTAAAGAAACAAACAAAAAAAAATTTGAACTTTGTTAAAAAAGGAAAAAACGTATTGATGGTAGTGTGCATTTAATGAAAAGTATATAAAGTAACATAAATAAATCATGAAATATTTTATTATTTAAATGAATTAAGTTTTAATTTGATTAAGACTTTATGATTTAGGCCTTGATCCTAAGGACAAACTGCTATATCCTGAAGGCGAAACTTGATGCAAATATTTTCCTGACCAAGGCTATTGGACGAAAAGAATTCTTAAAGCCGAGCAGACCCCTGCAGAAAGTTTGCTTTTGATAGATGAAAAGGTTTTGTTCATTTATTTTTACAGAAATAGAGCAGTTATGATTAATTCAATAACTTTCTTTCTGAAGGAGTGGGATCTATATTACTATTTTTCCAAATGGGCTTACATTTTCATATAAATACAAATTACAGTTTAAGGAACTGAAAATCTAAAGATGTGTTTTCGATAAAAATAGCTGAAGTTACTGGTAATAAATTGAATCATTGAAAAATTTTCGGTAATGCTAGCAACTTCTTCTTTAACTATTATGTATTTCTTGATAAGTAGATTCATATATATATTTCGATTAAGAGTGCTAGTATATTGAAAGACCTTTTTTGTTGGAAAGTCCTCTACAAAAACATCCCTTCTCTTAGATAGATATCCCTTGCCTGCTTTGCTAGATTTGATTAATCTACCCTAAACCTTTCCTAGAAAAATGGGAAGTCGATTATAAGATACTTTCTTCCTCCTTCCAGTATGCTTTCGTGGTGAAATTGGAAGCATACTCGGCGAGTATTCGAGAGGTTCAGATTCGAGTCCCAGCGAGGGCATTGCACACTTTTTATGCTTCAGAATAACCTAAGCCTCTACAGTGGCGCCTGAACAGAAAGTTGGTGGATAATTCGTCACTTCCAGAATTTTTGATGATTGACTCCCTCATCTCCAGTCGCCCTTTAAAAGGGGGAGTATATAAGGTATTTTCTCCCTCCTTTCCGTATGCCTTCGTGGTGTAATTAATTGGAAGTATACTGGACGCGTATTCGAGTCTCGCGAAAGGGCACTACACATTTTTACCGTCTCATGCTTAAAAAAAATAACTAATGACTCTACACAATTTTCTTGATGGAAAAGCAATAAAGGGATTTTATCGTTGGATGGAAAAAATTTGCCTCAGCTTGCAACTACAAATAGCAATAAGCAAACAGAAATTGCAGTACGCAAATAACAAACTGCAATATGTAAATAGCTGCAACACATGATATGACATTAAATCTTGTGTTAACATCATGCATTACGATATTTCTACTATGCTGTTAATTAATGTGTTCATTAAATACAGTTCAGCCTTCCATTGCATAAAGTGTTTCATCCTACCTTGTTTTAACAAATACATAGCTCTATTTTACCCAATTTGACAATGAACAAAATTTTATTACTGACTTAACATTTCAATTTAAAAAAATTAAAAACTCACCTACTTTTAAGGTTTTTAGATCCTCCTAAGGAGGAGGCTTCGCGGATTAGAAGCAATGGCTATCTTATACTCAGAAATGAGACGTAGGTACAGGTCCGCACCTGTGCATTCTCAAAGGCGCATTTTAAGTATCTCCGTGCCTTGCTAACTGTTAAACTTCCGCCCCAATTTTCAAGAATAACAGACTGGGGGAGGGGGCGTTCCGAGGGTCTCCAGCTCCTCTTTCCATCCTCCTTTTAATTTAATTAAGTGAGTAACTCAACGCTCCTGAAAACAAAATCTGTTTACAAAACATTTCATATCTGCTCATTTTATTAGCTGCTTTCGTCTCGCCGTATATTTTGTGTGCTCCCTTACCACATAGACACTATACGCGTACAGACATCAATGCCTTCTCCGGAATTCGAATTCAGACACATCAGTAAGGCAGTCGGCATCACTAGTCACTATGCCGGCTAGGCGGCATCGTTCAGAAGTACTGATTTTCTTTATTATTATTATTGCAATTGATTTTAAGTAGAAAACAGAATATAGATATAATTTTTAAAGCTTGCGGTTTCAATAAAATGCTTTAAAAAGGAAAAAATAACTTTTTTAGTATCAGTACATTCTTGATCATACATGACTAAAACAAACAAAAAAAGTAGAACTGTTACTGACTACGGATTTTAAATCAAAACTGTCGAAGAGAAATTTAAAATGGTAATTATTCTGTTATATGCTATGTCTATGTTAGCTCATACATAGGTAGGTCCAACAGTCTCCGGTCTTCTAAAAGAAACAAAATTTTTGAATATTTTATTTTTCAATATGCTCATCTCCTCCATGTACTTTTAGTTTCATTTAATGAGCAACTCTATTCTGCTGAAAAAGTAATACGAAGATTTGTCCTCAGAATATTTCACATCTGCACATTTTATGCCGTCGTCATCATTAAATCCCTTTAGGTAATATTTCAATTCGGAGAACCGATAATTGTGACCTGGAGCTAAAAATCTGGGATGTGAGGGGATGGTCAAGCTTCCACACAGCTTGTTGGAAATGCATCCACATGTTGCTCTTTTTAAACTGCTTTGCAGGGACTTTGTTCATGTGTAGATGCTCATATAGAATACACAAAACATTTGTTTTAGATAGATCCTATCTTGTTCCTTTAATCTCTTGTAACTGTGTATTTTCTACTGGACACGAGCAATATTTTCCGATGTTAGTGCTGAATGGTAAAACTTCACGAGAATCATATTTGACTGATTTTCAGCTCAAGTGAAACTGTTTTGCTCATTCTTTCGCTTTTACTCATTTACCTTCTTTTACTCATTCTTTTAACAGCAACATCGCAAAATAATTTTAAAATGAGCGTTGTTTTAGAATTTCTGATGCACAGTCTGGCGCGCTGGTTTTTTTTTTTTTATATATATATATATATATATATATAAAATTCGCGAAGTGTTACAAAATATGAAATCGATAATAAAACAAATTCAAAATTGAAAATTAGGGCTTTTAGCTGCTCATACTCGGTAGAGGATTACGTTATTCAAAATTTGATGTCTCTAGGTACTGTTGTTTTATCACAATGCGATAAATATACATACATTTATGCAGATTATTCATTATTTAATTTCTTTAAATATAACACAGGGCGATAATATTTGGTGGCAACATTCTGAAAAAGTCAAACGGACATTTAAAGTTTTCGACGCAAAATGCCAAAACAAAATTAATAGCCCTTCTGGACTGACGCCCTTTGGGCTTTAAAAAAAAAAAAAAAAAAAAAAAAAGAAGAAAAAGAAAAAAAAAAAAAGAAAGAAAGAAAACTGGTGAGATTTTCTTGAACGGAATTTTCAAATTTATTCATTGTTAATGCCAGTTCATGTCTGAGGAATTTGTTGCTAAACCATTTTTTACATGGCAGTCAGAGTTAGCATAATGATTAAGTGTATTTTAAACACTCAATACTCAAGCACTGAAATATTTTTTGAGTAATAAATTAATAGCTGATATTTCCATTAGTGATCTACCTTTTCACATGCAGATAGGAATGTGAACACCTATATATTTTTTCGTATCAAGAGATCTGAAACTTTAAACAGAATCCTTCAAACAGAGATTTCCAAAGTTTATGAATACTTTGAAGAACTCTGATATGTGTAAAAGTCAGTCGAATAATGGAAGTAAAAAACAGAGCTTAAGTGCTAAGGTTTTATTTATTTTTCACTAATAGCTAATGTTTAAGTTACGCTTGCCATTCTGTCTTTCCCATTTCTCAAAACATTTCTTTCTCTCCAAGACATAAAATTAACTTAAAATTAATAATTGCATAAAGCAGAACTTTTGAAATTATAATGTTTTTAATTTAATGCACTAGAAAATGACATATATATATATATATATATATATATTTAGCTGTTCCAACTTTCTAAAGTACGTGTGACTAAAAATCGCTGGATGCTCATAAAAAATAGTGAAAAGTTAACAAACGGTCATTCAGGGTTGGCGCCAGAAGCGGTGCAACAGCTCCGAGCGGCAGAATTTACGAGCTGCGGAAATTGCACCGGGCGACAAAAAGCCTAGCGCCGGGCCAGGCTTTAATACATGTTTATTATTCAGTATTAACGATAATATATTTAACAGCATTCTTTTTTGCATTTACAGCTCCAAAAACACCTCAGCGTCCAAGTAAAGAAGTTGTTGTAAAAGTAAGTATATAAATAATCTAAACATTAATTTTATTTTAGAAATATTATAGACATGTTACCGTGAAAGACCGAAATTGGAGAATGTCGACTTTCACCGGAGAATATCAACATTCACCAAATACGTCGGTGAAAGACAGAATATTTCACTACATTCTTGTATATTCGGACCCTCACCGTGTATGTCGACAATCACAGATATGCTCTGGTGAAAGTCGAAAAGAGAGGTCATAAAGTGCCATAATAGTTTAAGTTGTTGCAATAAATAAGATTTGAATCACATAATTTAGTAAGTTTTTTATTACTGTTATTTTATTTTTTCATTTAGAACGTACTGTATAATAAAGTAAGTTTTTAACTTCTATTATTTTCCTTTCTCATTTTGAATGTATTGTGTGTTTTAGGTTCTCATGTTCTTAAATTTTTATTTCAAGTCTCAAGTGCGTTTATTCGCGACTGAATTACGGAGAAGAAAATATAATATTGTTATATGTTCGACATTCACCATGTACAATGGTGAATGTCGACATTGAGCGGTGTAAGTCAGAAATAAGAGTATTTGGAAAATATTTCGGACATACACCAAGAGACTATGTGAATGTTGACATTCTCCAGACTTCGGTCTTTCACCGTAACAGACATATATGTATAACCTCGTGCACTACAGAACGTAAACGGCATACTTTTCAGCAAAAGTTGATGGGAAAAATATTTTAAAGATTCATTTTTTTAAGCCTAATTTTTAGTTTTCACTTAACTCTTTATACATGTAAGATATAATAAAATACGATGGCTATGGTAAGAAATAATTGGCGATCTTAAAATTAATTGACTATTCTAAATTTTATGTTCTCCCAAACTCGAGATCTTTCCAAATTAAGCACTGCTTGAAAAAGGTAACTAAACTAAAATTAACAAATCACGGCTTAGCTTCACATATGCACCTAAAGTAGTATAAATATTGCGTCGCCAGCAATGACGCCTTCCTTTTCTCTGGCCTTCTGCCATGAAAACAACTCTGCGCCGCTTATGCTGTCTAAGACGATTACGTCGTACCTTTTAAACTAGTGTACATAAAAATTTATCGTATTCAACGATGACTAAAAAGTAATTTGTCTGCCAAAGAGATGATTTGAGATGATGTGTAAAAATAAAGTTCAATTCAGTTTTGTTAGCTGCTTCATCAAACCTTCACCCTTAGCCACTACGACTGCATTAAAATATTATATACATATAATCTATTACCTTTTCTGACGTCATTTTCAGCAGGAATTTAAAACGCGCCGGGAATGTGCCTGCGATTAAATGTAACTTATGGCAAATCCTTGAATAGATGTGTAAGCGACTTATTGCTATGACCAAGATGAAACAGAACTAAAGAAGGGTATAAAGGACCCCTTTTATCTCATTTTTTAAGATATCAATAATTTAAGAAAAGGTATTTCTTGTGCTTAAAAAAACCAACCAGCATTTATAGCCTAATTCAGAAGCTAAGAAGTTCAAATTATAACTAAACTAAGTTGTCAATTAGCCAAAGGCTACGCAGAACTGACTAACACGCAAGTTAGCTCAAACCTATACCGGCGTGACAAGCACTGTTGGCAAGAATAACGCAACGAAGACAGACTGCTATCAAAGAACTGCAACTAGTAAAGTGGACTTCAGGCGGAACACTCGCTGATTAAACAATCTAAAAACTTTCTACCTCGAACTAAAAATTAGCATTCTGGCAGGAAAACGGAAAAGGAGAACTACAGTAAAGCTACTTAACATAAAATAACTGGTTAGATAAACATAAATAAATCCTTACACCTTGAATTAGGATTATTTTTAGGCTGCTTAATAAAGCTACTCGAGGTTCTGGAAAACCTGTGAACTCATGAGTTTGCCAGATGGACACTGTAATGGTCTTCATGGATTTCCAGAAATTTAAAATAAAAATTCGATCTAGTTACCATACAGAAGTTCGGAAGAAAGGAATTCTCTATCTAGGCATATAGTCTTAAGAAGTTTATAGAATTAAATTAATCCAATCGCATACATAAGGGAGAACTGGATAAGTTAATTCATTTGAATCTTATACTTTTTGCTACAGAAAAATATATGCTGTGGTAATTTATAAAATTGCTAAAAAAACCATAAATTACGTAATTAAAAATAATATGTGTATCCTTTCTGACAAGGTAGGGTTAATATATATTTAATCATTATAATATCAATTGTTAATATTTATTGTTAATAATGACTTTAATAAGTGAAGGCTATTTATTTATTTATTTATTTATTTATTTACCATCAGATGAGCAGCTGCACCGCCTTTAAGACATTCAGCTTAAGTGAAGGCTATTATTGACATTAAGTAGTTTTCTCAAATTTTCAGATGAATAAAGTTAAAGCACGCTAGCTTGATTTAAAGTATAGAATTTAGAACAGGCCATTAAATGCTAGTATAGGTATCCTAATCTTAGAAATCGGTTAACTTGCGATAAAATTTTATTTACTTTCTGAGTCTCTTAGTCACGAATTATATGCTATATACTCAAGAAGAAGTATTTATGACAATATCAGATAGAAATATCAGAATTGACGCAATCATTTATAGTCAGACTGTCATGCTTGTCGGGATGGCAGAGACGTGACACAATACATTATTGGAAAATGAATCCTTTATTATATAGCAGCACGACTTTTATGTACAAATATTTACATGACGTTGATATTATATGATTTAAGAAAATAATTCCAATCAAACACAGTTGTTTAACACCTTACAAATTAATCAGCCACGCTGGCTAAAACTGAAACTCGAACTCAAGCGTAAACGCCCTACCACACTTTCTGCAGACAGCTCTCGTCTGTCTCACTTGCTGGATTCTTACCGCGAGGCAGCCAGCTGATTGGCTGATCGCAGCCAGATACATGACACAGACTTTTAACAAGAAAACTTACCGTGCCTTCCTTGGTGTAATTGAATGCACGTCCGGCTAACAGCAAGGAGACCCGGAGTTCGAATCTCGGCGAGGGCACTGCTCGCCTTTAATATTTCCTGCTCAAAATAACCTAGTGACTCTGCATGTGATGTGTGAACTAGAATGTGGTGGACGCTAACTCGTTTCCTCCTGGATTTGATAAATGGGGCCCCTCCTTCCCAGTCGCCCTTTTAGTAAGGAAGAATGTAAGAAAGTTTGTTCCTCCTTATCGCGTAGATTTGTGATATTGTTACGAATTTTTTACATAGATAGATAATTTTAGGGAATTTATATGTGAAATTGTTGTATTTTTCTGTATAATGTTACAAGGGCAAGTCTATATAACATTGAGTAAATGGTTATCTCGCTAAATTGGCGAGATATCGCCAAGCTGGCGAAGATTTTGTCTCCAAATTTATCAAGAAATCGCAAAAAATCCCCGAACTTGGCGACCATTTAGTGACGTTTTGGTCCGGTTCCTGTATCGCCGTAATAGGTATTGTAATTGAATAAGTGTAATAGATTGCAAATGCAACTGTAATCGTATCTGGCCCTCATATGGCTTTCGGTAATTTCATGAAGCAGAAAGTACTAGATATATCTCGGCGGCCTGATGAAAAGCTACATAAGATCGTAGAGAGCATCATTTTATCAGTAGTTGTTAGTTAGTTCAGCGTGGTTGGAGTATTGAGATATCTCCGTACTAGTTTCGCTCTTCAGATGCGCTTTGCATTGAATTGTGTTTAACGTCCTTAGTAGTTTGAATTGATGATTGTACGCTGTGATACTGTGAAGAGCTGTAACAAAACTTGTGTAGAAAATTCCAGAACTGTGAAATGTTTCCGTCTGTAAAATAAATTTTATCAAGCTATCATTGGCTCTGTTTACATTCAATCTATTACGAACCCGTACGCACGCAAGAATATAATCCAGGAGGTTCAGTTCCGGTGAGGACATTGATAATTTTTCATGTTTCCTTCCCCGAAATCTAATTAGATTCTGCAACTGTATCTACTTCATCCCACTTGCTAAAAATCTTTATATATGAAATGATCGTCGGTTTGGTAACATTTTTGTTTTTTGGCGTACCAAGTATAACAGCTTAAAGTAACTTTCTAAAAGAAAGGATTTCCTATCCGAAATATATAGGTCGTATATGTCTGAAACTACTGAAAATCAGCGGTTCATCCTATGTTCCATTTCTGGAGATGAGCGGATTGGCTGTATGAGCTTCCATAGCCATCCTCATATGCAATGCGAATTTTCCTATATCCTCTGAGCTGAAACTCTAAGAAGTTTTCCATGAAATCATCTCTAGATATATGTCTCAGTATTTTGTCATAATAAGTAACATAAATGTAATGTAAAATACATTTCGGCTTTCATCATGAAACGCGGCAATTTTTTTTCAACTATAGTTATAAAGTAATACTAATACTATTGTGGGGATTTATTTAAGTTACTTTACAGTTAATTTTGTTTCGAAGCAACTTTTCCTATTGATCTCGCTTTCAACCCAGCCTTTCTTGCCAGAATGTAAATGAGTTAGCGCACGGGTATTCAATTGAGATAGAAAGAAGTTAGTATCTAAAGGAAGGTTTTTGGAAGGTGAATTTAGAGCGTGTTCTGCCTGCCTGAAGGCCTGTTATCGTTGATTTACTAAGGATTAGATTTCTGTGTCGTTCAGCGCTTTTAACCATTAAGCTTGTTTACGCCGACTTTTACAAGTCAGCCTGACTGCGCGTTAAGTAATCTGTTAAAAGTCGTTAGGTTAACTTATTTTTATTATATTTGAAATTATTTGTTACCTTTTGAGTTAAGCCAAAAGTGTTGGTTTTTGTAAGCACGAGTCAGTGCCATCTGTGAATAATATTGAATAAATAAAAGTTCCTTCACAACCTTTCTTTGAACTTTGTCGTACTTAAGAGTTAAAGATAATTCCTTACTCAGTCTGTTAACGTCTAGCAGTTTATTCTCGCTAGGATCGCCAGACGTTATACCAGATATGCATAAGAAACTTCTTCTCTTTTGCTGAAATATGACGACACATTTTTTTTACATTGCAGGATATCACTCGGAATGCTTGGTTTCATGATTTAAATGCTGTTCAAGCTCAAGTTAGGCTATTGAACATGAAACAAAACGGGGCCTTCCTAGTCCGGTACAGTAGTAAGCCAACAATTGAAATACCTTATACCATGTGTGTGGCATTTGATGGAAGAGTACTTAACTCCCATATACGCCTTAAAAGTAATGGATATTACGCTCTTGGGAAAGAAAAAGAAGGTGAAAAGGTATATAATATTTATCCATTTACACTTTGTTTATTTTATGAAGATTTTGGATGCCTCAGTGACTAACCTTGAACGTCCATATTACGTGATAGTTGAGTACTTTTACTAAATAAAAACTGTCAAGGTTATTGATTTTTATCAGCAATATTTCCTTTCTATTGACATGCAGATTTCATTTACAAATTATTATTAACCATGAGAAAATAAAACAAAAATTTTATTGAAGACAATATTTATGAGCTATGACTTCTGTTGGAACACACTTAAGTTACGATAGGTATGAAGAGAGATAAAAAATTCTAACTCTAATACAGTATGCAGCCCTAATTAGTAATTTAGCTTTCTAAAATTTGCATTAGATTAGCTAGTTTAATATTCGTATATATATATATATATATATAAATTTAAACAAATTAAATTTAAGTTTTAACAAACACGTAAAAATGTAAAAAAGCAAATTTAAAGCCAAAAAGCTTAAAAAAATTATTTAAAAAAATGTGTAAACATATAAAAGATTTAAAAGATTTAATTCTCGAACTAACCTACAATATCATTTAAATTCAGAAGCATAAGCAGATCAAGTGCAAAACCAATCCATGAAAATAAATTCACAAATTTAGCAAATTAAAATTAATCCAAACAATTTTTTAAAAATTGCATAAGTGAATGACTGTTGAGCAGGCAGGAGACAGACTTATCAAGGGGAAGTTGCCTCCAAACCTAACTCTCCAATCATTCAATTCGTGTTCGTCATTCATGCAGGCAAGGGTAAAAGTCAAAACCAAAAGTAAAAAGTGAAGAATGTCCAAAATGAAATACCAATAAAGTGGTACCTTTATAAATTAGCATTTAAGAATTAAAGTTTTAAAAGGAAAATACTAATGAAGTCTTTTGAGAAACAAGCAAGTAAAGTCAAGTATTAAATTAAACTTTTTAAAAAAATTAAATTTAAAAAAAATAATTTCTTATAAAAAATAATCTAGAAACTAATGTATTTTAGAAACTCTTGTCTACAGAAACCTCCCGACACGAATATGCATATCAATAAAAAGAAACTAAAAAGAACTAGACATAATCCATATAAACCAATAAGAAACATAAAGAACTAATTCACAATTTTTAAAAAAACAAATATATACTTAAAAATATAATTTCATATCTAAAAAAAACTTAAATACTACATAAAAATTTTTAAAAAATACTTTAAGCAAGTAAATAGTAAGTTTTAATTCTAACTTACCTACCATACATGAGCGTTGGGGTCTGCAAAAGTATTTCCTAAGTGATGTAAGTTTGCTCCTGCAAATTAATTATATAAGATGGCGCTAATGTAAGTAAAGTTGAGTGCCAAGCTGCTATCTTGTTATATTAAAAATTTTTTGCAAACATTAATATTAAAATAATAAAAATAAATCTAGAAAAAATTAAATTAAAAATTAAAATTAAAAATCCTAAAGGTATGTAATTCAAGTTTTAATTTTAACGATAAATTATGTAGGGAGTTAAGCCAATCAAGAGAGGTAAGTTTGCTTGAAGTAAAATAGAGTTAAGTGGTATAGTGAATTAATAAATGTAAACTGTTTGTAATGTGAAATGTGTGTTCTGTTGAAAAATTGTGTAAATATTGCAAGGCAAATAATTAAGTAAAAATGAAATGTTTTAAAATTTAAGTTTTAAAGCAAAATTTAAAATGTCAAAAAATTTTTTCCAAAATTTTGTGAAATTTTTAGAGGTTTTTTACATGTATTCCGCTGTTCCGCATGCTGCGTCGAAGCGCGTACAAGTTGGAACTTTAAAATTGTTGTCTTTTCTAAACAGAAGTAGAGCACAATTTTTCATGGAATCACGCGGTACGTATATTATTGTTAAAATACGTAGAACTGATTTCATTCATATTAAAAGGCTTTCATACATTTTCTTTTCAGGTCTACACCTAGAACTTATAAATTTCAACTTAGCCGCAGCCCGCAAATCTGGTGGGTTTGTCCGCTAGTTTGATATTAAAATCGGAGATCATATTCAGGGGCCGTACACAAATACGAGAGAGAAATGTTTGCATTTGTACGTAACAAAAAAATAAAGTATCGATTAGAAAAAGTTTTCTGAGGATTTATAGATTAATTTTAGTTCATCATCTGATCAAATTAGATGTTGATGTATAGAAATTCTAATTTCTAATGATTTATAGGTAGTTTTTTGAATATATTAAGTGACGACTCAGATTATAGGGAAAAATATTGATTAATAAAATACAATTTTCAAACGGGATATTTGAATTAATTAAAAATGAAAAATATTTGCTTTTAAATAACTTTTTACGATTAGCAAATTATGATCCTAAGGTAATAAAATTTCATAAGGATATTAATAATGTATTTTAAACTCTGAAAAACTCATAACTCACTTGAATAAAAATTCCTCGGCATACCAAATTAACAAAATCATTAACTTAGTAAATACTAAAACAATATCATTGAATGACCTTTAAGGCAAGAATAATCAGCCCCAAATTATTCTAATTTATTTTTTAACCGATCACTTGATGTATATTGAAAATGAAGTCAAATATCGCAAATTCTGAAATTAAATATCTCTGCCAATTTTTGTCGTATTTTTAGTGCTTTATTTTTCATAAAAACTACAGTCTTTTCTATTTATATAGGGATTGGAGGAGGTTGAAAGAGTTAGATTTCGTAATTTTTACAAAACTTATTTCTTTAAATTTAAAAATGTCAAAACACGGATAGTTGAGTCATTTAAAAATTTATTATTAACTAGAAAATTTCTAGTTATAATATATTATAACGAGAAATATATGTATACCACCAGAACCGACACAAGGGTAAAGCCTCACTTAGGTACTTGCCTCAACTGAACAGCCAGAAAAGGTACCAAATTAGGTGCCAAAATTTCGATATTTATTAAAAAAAATTACAACTATTAACTTTTAACTTTAAAACATATACAAAGTTTGGTATGTTTTCCTATCATCAAATAGTGTCCAGACGCTTGGTAGACGTTCAGTAAATTACCGTTAATTCTAAAATAATATCTGAAACTAGAGAAGGATGTAAAAGACCCTTTTATTTTAAACTTAAGAAGAATGGAAGGCACACCTGGTGCTTGCAAGCTTAGCCAGCACTTATGTCAAATGTAAAATATAGATTAGATAAGTCAGTCGCCAAAGGTTACACAGGTCAATTAAAAGTTGATTTCCAATCGAACCGGCGTGGGGATTCAGTATCGGAGATTATAATGCAATGCTAAAGACTACAAATCTTATCTGAGCTAGCAACCTAGTAACATGGCGTAGACGACAGAACACGATGTGCATTACAATCTGAAAGCGTCATCTTAAATACAAGCGAGTTAATTTGCATTCTGGCATGGAAAAGGAAGGAAGAAATGAGAGCAAATGTCTAAAATCAGCGATTCTCAATCTGTGGTAAGCGAACCACTGGGGGTACGCGAAGAAACAAAGTATTTTTATCTATTAAACTCAAAAATCGCATGAAGAAAAAGAACAATTGATAGAAATTTCCTGTGATCGAACTCTAACTGAAGATTTTAAAAATAACACACTTGTCAACTTTTCGCTAAACCGGAAAAAAGCTGTTAAATTTTTATTGCTTTTTTTGCACAACCTATTTGTGTGAACAAGAATTATCTTCCATGTTATATTTGAAAATAAATACAGAACAAAGCTAAAAGTGGATCCTAATTCACTGTTAAAACTAAGTAAAATAAAACCAGACATTAAGAAATTGATATCTTTCAAATAGGCCCAAATTTCACATTAAATTTATAATCGAAGTATTATAGCTTGAGCTTTGATAATTATAATGGTAAACAATGTTTAATCTAATATTTTTTATGTGTGCACATTTAATACAATAGCCAGTAGGTTATGCAAATATCAAAATATATTTTTTTTAATATTTCTGTTGAGAAATTGAAAAATAATAGTTGTAAAACGTAGTGGTGGTGCTAAAGTTTTTCAATTTTTGTTAGATGGTACACATTAGTCAAATGTTGAAAACTGCTGAGCTAAATTATAAAATAGTTATTAATTAACATAAAGGAACTCAACACACATCCAGAAGTATAAAAAAATTTGCATTGAAAATAATCCAGCTGAATTAAGCAAAGATGTGTAGCATTAATATTTCTCAAAACTGCCGAGGTTTCACAGTATTCTATATATTCTTTTCTAACTTTAACGTTTAATGTTCGAACTAATGTACTGAGTTTAATTTATACTCGTTGCAATGGTCTTCACAGACTAAACTTGCTCAGGAAGCACCACTCCACCGACATTAATAATATCTATTATCCCCCTTTAATTTGAACTATAGGTCTTCTCTATAACAAGTTTTCCGAAGTCCACTAACTGAGTACTGACGGCGGCATAAATTACCACAGTTTATTGCAGCAGACCTAACACATAAAGGCCAATTGAAATAGATCGGGAGACTAAACAGAGACATTTGAAAGTGAAATCACCGTATTATCAGTCTCATGCCCCACTTTCTGTGTAAAATAGGCAGCTGAACAAGACGCATGGTTTTAAGGTTTTGTCTTGTACCCGTAATTAATTTGCTCCGGAATTTAGCAGTTGGTTTTATTTACGATTATTTCGGAAAAATGTCACACATATTGCTGGACGGAGTAAATTGAATCGTCCATTAGTTTGTCTTATCCTTTGTTAAGCCTGGAATGTAAACATATATAAGAGAAGTACATTTTTTAGTTGTTCTATCGTTTATAATGAAACAATAAAATAAATTTAGTTCCAAAGAAATATAATATAACTGATACTGATATGAAAGAGCAACTTTAAAGGCATTCAGTTTCATTCCGGTGATTCTAAGATAACCAAAATAAAAAAAAAGTTCTATCCTTGGGAAAAGAATTTTAAGAAATACAGTTTCGAAAAGATTGATATATGAAAGAAGAAAAAAAGATGAAAGCGATAAATCTGTTGATTTACGGATTTAAAA